GTCATTGTTGTTTGGCGGGTCCGGGCTGGGGATTCGAACCCGCCACCTTAGGTGTACGTGGCTGACGCCTTAGCCGGTTGAGCTATAGGCGCTGAGCCAATTTGTTCTTTTATTTATTGAACTGTCTTAGGCCTTGTTAGTAAGTTTAGAATCTCTGCGTTTTTTAAAATCAAAGGAATAAGCAACTACAGAGCCATGACTTTTGTGTCTATAAGGTAGAAAAAAATTATTATCTGAACTTTTAAAGAGATATAAAATCATTATTAGTCCAGCTAAGCTAATTTATAACCGTAGATTATCAACTGTATTCCCCAATGATCTATATTCAATGTATGTTTCCAATAGGTTCATTCCAGCCAACAAATGAAATGATGCTTAAGTTCTATAGCTTCTATAAACAGGCAACTGAAGGACCCTGTAAACTTTCAAGACCTGCATTTTGGGATCCCATTGGAAGATATAAATGGTAATTTTATATAGAGAGCCATGAAAGAATTTTAATTTTAATTGTATAATTATACGGCTGTTACTTATGTGCTTACATATTATTATATTTTGTACATAAAGTGTCGTAGGTACTGGGTACAATTTTGATTCTCCAGGTGCTCGTAACACAATTCTACACAAATGGGAACCTCTCAAGGAAGAGGGGAAAACAATAAAACCAAAAGGGGTGGGTGCATTAAAAATAAAAAGCATTTTCAGTTGATCTTTCCTTTTATGGACTTTTTCTCTATTTTAATCCAAAAGCAACTCCCACTCTAAGGTAAATGAGCAAACTTTAACTGCCTCTTTTACTTGCCAAGAAAAATAATGACCTTTGTTTGTCAAGTGACATCGTTTGCTTTGAGCCTTGGAGGTAATAAATAACCAAGAATATGACTCAAGTACTGCCACACTAACTCTTATCTAAGCCATCACTTTTTTTTTTTTTTTTTTTTGAGACAGAGTCTCACTCTGTGGCCCTTGGTAGAGTGCTGTGGCATAATAGTTCACAGCAACCTCAAACTTATGGGCTCTAGCGATTTTCTTGCCTCAACCTCCCGAGTAGCTGGCCAGGGTTGGGTTTGAATCCGCCAGCCTTGTTGTATGTGGCTGGGGCCATAACCACTGTGTTACTTGAGCCACAGGCGCCGAGCCACTGTTACTGTTCTTTATAATGATATAAAAACATTTGAAGAGAGGGCGGTGCCTGTGGCTCAAAAGGGTAGGGTGCTGGCCCCATATGCCGGAGATGGCAGGTTCAAACCCAGTCCCAGCCAAAAAAAGAATGCCACCCCAAAAAAACATTTGAAGAGTTCTTAGAAAATACTTACGAACAGGCTGGTTGTACTGGCACACTTGTAATCTTAGCACTCTGAGAGGCCAAAGCAGGAGGATCCCTTGAGCTCAGGAGTTCAAGACCAGCTTGAGTCAAGTGAGGCCCCACCTGTGCTAAAATAGAAAACAATAGGTGGGTGTTGATGCTGGCACCTGTAGCCCCAGCTACTCAGGAGGCTGAGGCAAGAGAATTGCTTTTGCCTAGGAATTTGACGTTGCTGTGAGCTGTGATGCCATGGCATTCTCCTGAGGGTAACAAAGTGAGACTCTGTCTAAAACAAAAAAAAAGAGGATAATTTGGAAACATAACATAGCTTTAAGGAGTGTCTGTTTTGAATAAATGACCCTATATAGCATCAATTATGAATCGTATTCTGAGCAATTGAAAATAAGTTATCTTTCCAATTTGTATATTTTCATTTCTAGGGATGCTTGGAATTCATTGGGTGATATGACCAAAGAGGAAGCCATGATTGCATATGTTGAAGAAATGAAAAAGGTAGGAAAAATAATTCATAGTAGAAAACAGAAATATTCAGAGCAGGTGTTTTTTCCTTAAGATGTGATATGATGTTTCATTTTGTTGTTGCTATTTTTTTTTCGCAGTTTTTGGCCAGGGCTGGGTTTGAACCCGCCACCTCTGGCATATGGGGCCAGCACCCTACTCCTTTGAGCCACAGGTGCCGCCCTTGTTGTTGCTTTTTATCATTTTCCCTGTCTTTCTCTATAGCCAACTCCTGGAGGATGTGTGAGAGTAAGAAGATATAGAATTAAAAATATTAATGTCCCTTACTCTGCAGTCCGGGAAGTACCTAATGGTCTTAAAAACATTTCTACTTTGGAACTTTTTTATTTAGGAGAAATAATTAACATGATTGCCTAACAATGTTTTCATAGAGGTTTTGACTCATAAATTGAGATACTTCTACCACTGGACACCTCAGTACCAAGCATTTTTCTGTCAGTGCATAGATGCTTCAGAAGGAGAATAAGATAAGGGTGCTTTCAGGTTCTGCTTTAACTACCAAAGAAGGGCATTCATTCCTTGTTAAATAGCTATTTTAAGTGTGGCCAAGGTATGGTTTTGAGGAACAAATTTATGAAGAATTCAAAGCTTTTTTAAAAAAATTTTTTGGTGTTGCAGTTTGGCCAGGGCTGGGTTTGAATTCACCACCCTCGGTATATGGGGCTGACACCCTACTCACTGAGCCACAGGCACCACTCTAAATCAAAGCTTTTAAAATTGATCTTATTCTTGTCTTTAAGATGGAATTGAAAACCACGGGGGTAAAAGCAGAAAAAAGCAATTAAAGATGATCTATCTTAGACACATTTTATACAGGACCATTTTTATTTTGGATATGGATCAGAAGTTGTGACATGTAAGCTTGATAATCTGAAATGAATTATCTTTGATCATAAAGAAAATCTGTAAAAAGGAATAGTGTTTTTGTCACATGGTTTGATGGTATTAATCTCTGTAATTATTTCTATTTAGTAGATTTAGAACAGTTTTTTTATATTCATTTTCTAATCTTCTACACTGCTCAGAGTTGTGCCCTTTGTTACATTTTCACAATTTTCATTTAATGGACTTTATCTGTAACAGAGGAAAGACTTTAGTTCTTTTGGCTCTTAACTATGTCACTAACACAATAACAAAGGACCTTTTCAAAGCAGAAAAGGAAAGCTAATCTAAAACTTTCTTGGTTTGATAACTATTTTTCTTTACTTTAAATATTAATATAAATTTTAGAACATACTTCAGTAATAAAAAGTCGAATTGACACATTGAGTAAAATTTACCCATTTTCTTCTATCTAATTTTATTAATTAATGGTAGAGACACAGTTTATGTTTTGTTTTTTTTTTAACTTTTTTTCCTTTGGCCACACTTTTAAGTAACAGGGAGATGAAACAATGGGTGTTATACTGTTTTCCTAAGAAAGATTAAAACTACACTGCTATTTTCAGTTATCTCCTATTTCTACTGCCTACCTTTTTTTTTTTTATTTGAGATAGACTCTCACTTTGTCATCCTTGGTAGAGTGTCATGGAGTCACAGCTCACAGCAACCTCAAACTCTTAGGCTCAGGCGATTCTCTTGCCTCAGCTTCCTGGGTAGCTGGGACTACAGGTACCTGCCACAACACCTGGCTATTTTTAGAGATGGAGTCTTGCTCTTGCTCAGGCTAGTCTCGCACTTCTGAACTTGAGCAATCAACTCACCTCAGCCTCTCAGAGTGCTAAGATTATAGGCATGAGCCACTATGTCTGACCCCTAAATTATGTTTTTTTTTTTTCAGAGACAGTCTCATTTTGTTCCCCTCAGTAGAGTGCCGTGGTGTCACAGCTCACATTAACCTCCAGCTCTTGGGCTTAGGTAATTCTCTTGCCTCAGCCTCCCAAGTAACTGGGACTACAGGCGCCCGCCATAACGCCTGGCGATTTTTTGTTGCAGTTTGGCTGGGGCCAGGTTTGAACCCGCCACCCTCGGTATATGGGGCTGGCACCCTACTCAGTGAACTACAGGTGTTGCCCCTAAATTATGTTTTTAATACATTGACTATCACACTAGGAAAAATTTTTTTTTCCTTAGGGCAATGGTGCTTTTTTAGGTCAAGATATGTCCAGAGATGTGTGACTTATATATACTTCGTGAGGCTCTGGGTGCAAAACTGGAGTAAGATGAATCCAACTGACTTGGTAGTAAATGTATCAAATGTAGTTCACAGCAACAAAAATAGAGTTCAGAAATCACTGTATTATTGCTCTTTACCATTCCTCTTTACAGTATAAATCTCATTTTGTGTCTTTGCTGTTAAGGGTTTCAAAGCTGGGTGTGTGGCTCAGCACCCATAGTTCAGTGGTTAGGGTGCTGGCCACATACACCGGGGCTGGGTGGTTTGAACCCGGCCCAGGCCTGCTAAACAACAATGATTAAATAAATAAATAAATAAAGCAGGTCGTGGTGGTTCACACCTGTAATCCTAGCTCTTGGGGAGGCCTAGGTGTGTGTATTACTTGAGTTTAATAAAATGTACATGATGGGAGGTGCCGGTAGTTCAGTGGTTAGGGTACCGGCCATATACACCAGGGCTGGCGGGTTTGAACGTGGCCCGGGGCCAGCTAAAACAACAATGACAACTGCAACAAAAAATGGCCAGGCGTTGTGGTGGGCACCTGTAGTCCCAGCTACTTGGGAGGCTGACACAAGAGAATCGCCTAAACCCAAGAGCTGGAGGTTGCTGTGAGCTGTGATGCTATGGTACTCTACCGAGGGCAACAAAGTGAGACTCTGTCTCTAAAAAAAAAGAAAGAAAAGAAAGAATAGAGTAAGCAGTGGTTTGGGGGAAAAAAATCCGTATTTCTTTAAATAAAATTTATTTTGATTTATAATCAGAAGGAAGTATAAAATTTTATTTTAAAGGTGTGAGCCACCACACCCAGCCCCAAATTCTATTTTTTTTTTTTTTTTTTTTTTGAGACAGAGCCTCAAGCTGTC